GAGAGAGAGAGAGAGAGACACCTCTGTCCTGGGTGTGGGTGTGTTACTGGGAGTGCGTAGGATGCCTTAGCAGGGTGTGAATGTGTTTTGGTTTATTTTGTGTGTATATGCATTTTCACAAGTATGAATAATCATATAGGTGTGTTTGTTACTCAAACATCTTGTGCAAATTTATTACATCTCAACGTCTGAGTCACATGAGTACATCTAATGAAATGAATTAAACACACACACACGACAAAAACCCCCGCCCCCACCCAGCACACACACACACACACACACGACACACACACACACACACACACACAGACACAGGAGGCAGTCTCCTACCTAAAAGTCCTAAAAGCTGCCTGTCATCAGTGTCCTCTACACACACTCCTTTGTCACTCACACACAGATGAGCTCTGCCCGGATGCACTGAAGGTATTTGTGAGGTTGAGATAAATGTTTATCTGAAGGATGAAACCAGAGATAACACACAGTATCACTAATAGTCTGCACATTGTTTTATTTCTGTAGATCATTTGTACTTTTATTTTGCTGTTGTGAGACGAAAAGATGAAAGACATAGAAGTACAGTATTCCCTTGTTTGTTTGATTGTACAGTACAGGGAACAAGTGAGAAAGTCCAAAGTTCAGTACAAGCATCAAAGCTTTTTCTAAACAGACAAGTGTGCTTTGTTTGTCCGGGATGTGTAGTTTAGTGAAAGAGACTGACACGCCCTCACTGTGTTTCTGCCTTTGTTGTTTCTTCTCAGATCAGGAATTTGGTGACATGCGGATTAATGATAATTCCCTGCCATGTTTATGTTGCCCTGCAAACTAACTGAAGTGAACTTGAGGATGTGACTGATCCCTTTTTAAATCACAGCCACCTCCGGGGACATCCCTGACCTTTAGAGGGACTAGAGTGCAGCCCTGCTCATGTGTATAAGGTGTTCTTCTGTGTAAAGTATTCCCATTAGCAGCATTAGCTAGCAGTGTAGCTCTGTGGATGGTAATGTCAGTCCGTTGGTTGGTCCACTACTTCCAGGCTGAAATATCTCATCAGCTATTAGATGGATTGAAACTTGCGTACAGACCTTCAGGGTCCTGAGAGGATGAGTCCTAATTACTTTGGTGATCCCCAACATGTTATTTTTTTTCTAATAAGATGTCTTAATTATAGGATGGATTGCCATGAACTTCCCCCACAGGATGAGTTATATTTACTTGAATTGATTTTATCTCCACCTTTAAGTCAATATGGACAAGAAGTGCTCAGGAAACAGCTACTAGACCTTGGGGAGAGATTATTATTACGTTATATATATAAAACAGGATCTTATAACAGGGTTCAATGTTAATGTTTTTTTTTCTCTTGTGGGTAAGAAAATTACTTGCCTCTATACAAACAGTTTTGCCATGTAAGTGCTCTTGTCAGCTCTTGTTATGGCACCGAGCATTTTTTAAAAACTTGACTTTGAAAGATGACCTGAACATACGACAAACTGCTCAATACATAGTTGATACATAGTGGTTTCGCCCACACCCTCTAACGCCACCCAACTAAACTCTTGTTTCCAGGATAACTGAAACACTCATAAACTTCGTTTTTAAGCGACGCTGTTTTCTCATTTTTTCCCAAAACAGACGATGTCTTCAACTATTTTTTAACCACTTGTCCTATTGGTGATCAATCATTTTTTTTACACAAATGTTCCCAGTGGATTTGATAAATTCTAAAGTTTATTGTTATAATATTCTCACAATGTAAGGTAATATTATATTCCGTGAACATGGGACCACATATACTGTCTCTATTAGCAGTAGAAAGAGTATCTGTTTTTCCAGACAGGTGGACACACCCAGAGATAGAGAGACAGAGACTGTATGACTGGACTGATCAAAAATGTGTGCTCTCTGTGCTGTTCCCCACTCGGCTGCAAAGAAAGCTGCCCAGTTGCATTCCTCACCATGATTACCTATTGTTGATATGCTGCAGAGAGACGCCCTGATCCTGAATGACTCTCATGCCTGCAGATGCTTAACATGGGACTATGCAATGTATGGAAAAAGTGTCTCTAATACAAAGTTATGATGTTATAAACTTACTTTCTGGCCTGCAGGTTGTGACGTTGTTGACTGTATACAGTGCAGGTCTGTGTTTGTAGCATAGAGTGTATCTGAGCCCTGACAGAAGGTCAACATGGTGAAGATCAGTGTGAATAGCAAGTAAAAATAAAAGGCACCTCTTAATTTCATATTAAATATGTGGCTGTGGTTCAATTCAACCCTGTGGCCTTTTGCTGCACGTCTTCCTCTCTCTCTCTCTCTCTGTACGCATTATCACTCTTCAACTACACTAACAAATAAAAGCAATATAAAGCCCCCCGAAGTCATAAAGTTGTATAAAATGCACAATCAGATGTTGAAGAAAATAAATCAGGGTAATGAAACATAATACATCAAACATGTTATGTATGTAAACTAGGACTCTGTACATGCTGTTAAGTTCCCATTCCTATCACTTAAATGTATATAAAGGGCCAGTTTGTAAAATTTAGAAAGGCAGATATTGAATATAATATGCATAATGTTTTCATTAGTGTAGAATTACCTAAAAATAAGATTCTTTATATTTAAGTTAGAATGAGCTGTTTTTATCTACCGACAGCGCAGGTCACCTGCCCTGGCGGGCGCCATGTTTCTCCAATAGGCCAGAACAGAGAAAACACAACAAGCTCGAGATAGGTCCTTTCAAGTTATTGCGCATTTCACGGCCACTGTAGTTCATCCTTTGCGCTTGGTAATGGAGGGTGAAGTGAGCTCCAACTACACCACGAGATGCCACTGAATTATACACACTGGTCCTACACAAATTGATTTGCATTTTTATTCTGCAAAACTCCTTTTAGAAGGTTTCCAGTCAAAGTTTTACACGTTCATATTGTGGATTAAAGTCAACAGTTACCACAGAACAGAATTTGAGAACATATGATGGTCAATATACAAATAAATCAGTTGTTACATTAGTGACCAGTGTTGGGCTAGTTACTCAAAAAATTTAATTTATTACTCATTACTCTTTTCAAAAGTAATGTTACTTTACTTGTTATTTCCTGCCAACAGTAATTAATTTGACTACTTGTTATATTACTTTCCTGCTACTCCCCACAAAAGTAAGTAGTTGTGTCCCTTCTACCCAGAATTCAGACCTGCAACGAATTAAATCCAGGTTTGTTTGTTATAATCAAAGTACTGGAGTATTTCGACCCACGTGTGATGAAAATGACGTGTGTCTATATATGTGTCTGGGATTCAAATTGTATCATTTTACATAAAATATTATTATATTTGGAAGCGTTTCATGCCCTGATAGTGAGAGAGAGACGACAGGAAACGAGGAGAACAGGAGGTGAGAATGAAGCAACTCTGAGACCATTCATCAGTCAGATTTGGAAACACTCATTGCAACTTGATTTTCCCCACCTGCATTCACTATTATAGTGAATGCTATTAGTGTGAATAAAAAGTATTTTGTTCTCATCTCCCTGCAGGAATTCAGTGCCCCTCCAGCTCCATGAATTATGCATCCATGGTAATTAAAGGGCCCCTTGCTCCCTGTGAGAGATCTGAGAGTGTGTCAGGGCCCCACTGAAAAGGAAGGGCAGGGCTGAAGGTGGGAGGACAGGATGGTGCAGGGAACTGGTCGGTCCGGTCTTCCCCTACTAGGCGGATGTCTGGGCGGTGACACACCTGTTAACCTGTCTGGGAGGAGCTGCCACGGTGCTGACGTGAATTTGTGTGTGTGTGTATGTTTGAGTGTGCTTGAGAGGAACCAAAGGGGAAGGAGAGCCAGAGTGTGTGCCACAGGGTGAGGAAGACAGAGACGAAGAAGGAGTAAAAGAGAGAGAGAGTGAGAGAGACTTTTGTGGGATCTCTGGTTGACCCACCACGACCTCCAAGATGTTCAAGAAAAAGGAAAGTACGAAGGACGGTACCGTCAAGGTCTCGGGCAAGATCAGC